GTAGGAAACTTTTAATAATTTGGGTCAGAATGTTTGCTTTGTTCTACTTCAAGGTCAGAGTACCTGTCCGTGTTTTCTTCTTCCAGCTGCAATGAATCTTAACATATGGCTGGAAACATTGGAGCTTACTGCTCTTCCACTAGACAATTAGCTTTCATATCTCTTTAAAGGAGATAGAGATGGAATATTGGGGGAAGAAAGGCTTTACTGGAAGGGTGTCAGTTCCATTTCACAAAAATTTGCATCAATGAGAAAACTTTCTCTAGACAGGGATTTCTCAACAGTAGCTCTATCGACATATATGGCTGGATGACTCTTTGATGTAGGGGGTTAGTATATATACTGTAGGATGTTTAACAATTCCTGATCTATGATTACTGGAACCAGTAGTATCTCCCTATTATGGCTATCAAAAATGTTTCTCCAGATATTACCAAATGTCCCTTGGGTGACAAAATTACTCCCTGCTGAGCATCAGCATCCTGAACTCTCACCCTACCTCAGTCTTTCTCTTGGGTACACAGCAGGTGCATGGAGGAGAGTTTGTTAATACATTTGAATTTACCCTGTATTTGAAAATCTCACAATGCTCTCACACTAGACCACATTCAGACTTTAAAAATTTGTTAATTTTGAGGTGAACATTTCTTAATGGCTTATAAAGGATCTCATGTCTGCTCTAGTCTGCAAATGCTGACAACTTGTCACTCCTTGGAGGCACATAAATTTATCTATATTTTATGTTAATTAGTTTTTCTGTGTCCTCAGGTCTCTGACGAGAGTTTAGTATGAATTTGCAGATTATTTAGGATTGTCTTTGTTTATATTTGAAAACAATACCATTTTCAGATTTGTGTAGCTGAAGTGAAATTTAGGTGTCTGACATACATAATTTGAAAATAGTCTTAATTATCCCCCAGAGCAATTGGAGACGTTCAGAAATGAAGCAACTTCCCAGGTGTAGGAGATTCGAGCCATTACCTTTCTAATCATATACACAAGTTCATTCCACACTGCCATCTTGACTCTATGTAGAGTGAATGTGTGTTACGTGTAACAAGGTAGGTGTTATGTTTCTCTTTTAATTTATTCCCCAATGTAGATTTAGATTATGGTGCAGACAACTACTTGGCAAGATGAGGAAGAAGTGTAGTAGAGAAATGTGACATCATGGTTGCCAGGCCCACTCTCATCTCTCTAAGTTTCAGACTGAGATACCAGTAGGGACCAGGCAAGAGGAAGTATAAATGAGTGAAGTGTGCTGTGTCTGTTTGTTCTTATTTTTCCTTGACATATATGTTCTACTTTTGGTAATGACAGAAATATAGAGAAATCTTTCTTTATAAGAAAACAAGCAGTGCAAGCAGAATGATGGTATGTGGGGGCTCTCTACTTAAGGACTGGGAAAATTTATTTGCCTTGCATGCGCACACACACAGGGTCTATCTTGACAATATTGCAGGTTCAGTTTTAGACCACAGCAATGAAGTAAACACTTCAATAAAGTGAGTCCCACTAATTTTTTGGTTACCTATGGCATGTGGCACAGTGGATTAAGATGCTATTTTGAATGTTCACAACCCATATTGGACTGTGTGAGTTCAAGTCCTGGATCTGTTTCTGACTCCAGTTTCCAGCCCAAGAACACCTTAGGAGAGAGTAGGCTCAAATACTTGGGTCTCTGACACTCACATAGGAGATCCAGATTGAGTTCTTGGCTCATGACTTCAGCCTGGCTCAGACCTGGCTGTTGTGACCATTTGGAGAGTGAATCAATGGATGGTGGATCTTTGTGTGCCTATGTTTCTCTCTTTCTGTGTCTCTGCCTTTCAAATAAAAATGAACAAATGAATAAATAATTTAAAATATTAACTCAAGATTTCTTGAATCTCTATGGAGGTCAAATAAAAGAATTTGCAGACAGACTCTGGTCTGTGACCCCTGTGTAACTCCATCTTTGCCCTTGTTGGTCCACTTGAGAAGGGAAGTGCAATGGAATGACAGCTGTAGTCATGTTAATTTCCTTTTCTGGGAGCAATGAACCAGTGGCAGACATTTGCCATTCCCATGGCTTAATTTTCAATACAAGGCTAGCAATTTTAAAATCAGCCTGAAGACAAACAAAAGAAGTGACTATACAAATCAGCAGGTGATTGTTAAGCTGGGTTCAACAGAATGTGACGCACAGGTTGTTTGCAAGCAACTCATATTATAATTATCAATCTATTTACAAGTTCAAGATCAACTTTTTCAAAGTGATTCCTGTTGTACGTCACTTGCATTTGAATTTTAAAAAGTCATTGCTGGGTATCCTGGACAGAGAACAGGAATGTTTCTAAATATCCTGCAATGCATAGACTAGCCCTTACAACAACTGTAAAACTATGGTCTCAATTTGTAGCCATAGTGAGAGTTTTGTAATGGTTTATTAAGCCTAGTATTCCTGGTAATGCTCAGTCTATGGTATTTTGTAAATTTTACAGTGTTTATACCTTATTTTCCAATTTTTTTCCCAAAAAGGAAGCTACTTTGGACTCCCTTGATACTGCAGGGCTTACAGTATAGTAACTGCATCAATTTTCTGGTGGGCTCCATATTTTTCCAGTTACTAAACCAACAGTTTTCTTAAGGGGTAGGGTGACTACTCATTAATCATGAGTTCATTGAAATGATTTACTGATGAATTCTATTCACCACACTGTAGGCTTGTCCTTCTCATTTTCATCAACATCATTGTTCACACATTGTTCACAGGTTTTTTTTTTTTTTTTTTTTTGCATTTTCCTTTCTCTGCTTGCCTCCTAATCTTTATTCCTCAAAGTTCACTCTGTTGTCTGTGTACCCACATCCTAGGGTGCCTAAGAGCTTTGTACTGAGTGCTGGTCAAGAGACAAAGGACAGGCCGGTCTGCGGCTCAATGGGCTAATCCTCTGCCTGTGGCGCGGGCACACCGGGTTCTAGTCCTGGTTGGGGCACCGGATTCTGTCCTGGTTGCTCTTCTTCCAGTCCAGCTCTCTGCTGCAGCCCAGGAGGGCAGTGGAGGATGGCCCAAGTCCTTGGGCCCTGCACCTGCATGGGAGATGAGGATTCCTCCTGGTCTTCCCACCTGACACCTGGCGTCGGATCGGTGCAGTGCACAGGCCGTGACAATTTGGGAAGTGAGCCAACAGAAAGGGGATTTTTACTTTATTGTTCAGTTGTAGTTAGTCTTATGATTCTGATGTTACACTCTTAAGATTTGTATAAGAACATGTTTAAAACACATTTTGGGAGTAAGCACTTTTGCACACTAGTTAAGACCCTGCTTGGGAAGCCTGTATCCCATTCTAGGGTGTCTGGGTTCTAGTCCCAGCTCCTCTCTCAATTCCAGTTTCCTGTTCACATGCAATCTGGGAAGCAGCAGGTGATAGCTCAAGTACTTGGTTCTCTGCCGACCACATGAAGGAACTTGATTGAGTTCCGGTCTACGGCCATACCACCCTGAACACTCCCAATCTCGTCTCGAGTGAGTTCTAAGCTCCTGGTTGCACCCTGGCTCAATCCTGGCTATTGTGAGTATTTAGGGGATGAATCAGCAAATGGGAAGATCTCTCTTTTTCTCTCCCTGTCTCTCAAGTAAAAATAAATAAATTAATTAAAAAAAAAACAACCCACAGCCTGTTATGATGGGAGAGAAGTAATTTGCCTTATTTGAGAATTTCCTGTGCATTCAACTGATATTCACAGAGGCTACCTGTGGTTCTTGGCTTGTATACTTTGGATTCTATGTCTGAAAAAAAATTTTTAGGATGACAATTACATTGCAAACATTTTACAAGATAAGTATTAACTATTGGATTAAGACCAAATTCAAGACCAAATAAAACAGATTTCTGATCCGTATATGCTCTTTTGAATCCAGAGTCTCTATTTTTTGGAAAACTCAACCAAGTCCAATTTAAATCTCTGCAAATCGGCTGAAATGTTCTCATTTTGATGTTGCTTTTTCCAGTAAAGTAATTTTTCATGCATTTCCCATATTTTTCGAATTAATCATTCAATATAGTCTTTGAGCCTTTGATGTTATTCTTGCATAAAATATTTTTTGAATTAGTATTAGAAGGAACATTGCTGGATAGTTATTTAAGCTATAGCTCACTTCCACTTCATGAAGTATAATTTTTAAAATCATAATTGGTAGCATTGAATAAAAGAGTGTGGAATGTATCATTCATATATAATGGGCTTTGTGTTACTGCCAAACATTGATACTATTTCAAAAAGGCAAATTATAAGCTTAAAAGACTCTTTTCTTAGATGTTCATAATAATCTAAAAAAATGCTGGGCTCATTTTTCAGATTTCTCATTTACTATAAGTATCTGTCCCCAAATTACATTCTAGTAGTAGTATTTCTATAGATTGAAAGAATATCAAGTGGAATATCTTACAGATTGGACCTGATAATTTATTGTATGACTTTAAGGAGTTTGAAAAGTGTTAACACACTTCCTTTCATTAAAATGTCTATATTCCATACCTTTGCTGGGTAATGTCTCAGGGTTTAAATTGCTTGGCCCCTAAGCACACAAATTTGTCATTGACTTTATCAGATATTATCTATTTATGACAGTTGCAAAAGTGGATCGTAATTAAAAAAAATAAGCATGGTACAGCTACTAAGGCATGCAGCTAAGTTGTCATCATAATTTCAATGCAGTAGGAATGTCATGTTTTGGGCCTAAGATAGGAAATTTAGGCTATCTAAATCAAGTCTGATTTTTTCCTGGAGATTGTCTTTGCGAAACACTTTGTGAATATTTACTGACTTTCAGTTAGTGAGAATCTGGCTAAACAAACAATAGCAAAAATGAAAATCAGACAACAGCTTAAATCCTGTTGACTTTACACTTAGATTTTTTCAGGACCATTAAGTAGCATCATAGCTCTCCATCCCCAAATTGCTTAATATTTCTTATGGTTGGGACCAATTTATTCTGGTGAATTATTTTTCTTTTGTAGAGGAACTTGATTTAAATCTGTGCATTGCCAAGGGCAAGGAGCTGAGAACATGGATAGAGAGGTAAGATCGATGTAATAGTAACCCTCTCTTTTTTTCTTTTAAAAGCAGCCTTTTAAGCTTTATTTTTCAAAATATTATCCGTGGACAGAAAGTATAGAAATGAGGAGAAATTCAGCCTCCTTTGTAGCCTTCATGAGTAAAGAGGATGATTAATGAGTGTAGCAGACAACATAGTGGCAAAAGAGAGCCTGTAGAACTTAAACAAAAGTGCCTTCAGAATTTTCTAGGATTCCCATGGTCCATAGTAGGACCTCATTGTGCCTGTCCACTGTTTCTATTTTTGATTAGATTTATAAACACAGCACCACATATTTTCATGTGGCTTATTGCCCAGGGGCAGAGTTAGATTGACTGCACCGAAACCGTGCGGCTTGTGAGTTTTGGGCAAGGCTAGAATGAAATAAGGAGTGTAATTGTTTCTGTGGCGTGACCGTGGGACCTCCTCTGTTCCAAATTACGTATGGCTCAGCCCTTTGACCTAACCAGGCTCGGCAATGGCTGGCAGAGCTGCTCAAGCTATGCTGGAAGGGTCATCGCTGAACAAGTTGGAACGTTATCTGTCAGGCAAGATGTGGGCCAACAACAATTTCCAACCAGAATAATCGCTAGCAAGACGCATTCACTACTGCCTGGCTGCTTTAACTTCATCTCACCAATCATCCTATCGGTTATTATTTGAACAGGAAGTGCCAACACGGGGAATATTCCAAATGTAGCAAATGTCCGAATGTAGCACAGATTCTTTGATAAGTAGACTATTTTTCTTTTTAGTTTACTACATTTTGGATATTTGGGAATATGATGCTTAATTATTCAGCATCATTATTATGATTTTTAAAAATACCATAGTTTGGGAAAATGCTATAATCCAAGATTATAGTTCTTTTCTCTTAATGAGTTTGATTTAAATTCTTTTAAATAAATGGTTGCTCACTGATGTAATTCCTTGGAGGGATCCTTGTTAGAGGACGCAGAGACCTTTTAGAAATAGGTGGCAGAGGTTGTGGACGCTGTCCTTTTTCCAACTGTGGAGAGTTCATTTTGTGATAAGTTGGATACATGTGTATCTATGTAGATGTGCTTTTGAAAGTTATACACTGTTATTTTTGATTCAGTAAAATAAAATTTTAAAGGCAATAAAAACAGAGAACTTGGGTTTACTTTCAGGTGCTTGACACAATTTCCGGAGTTAGTCTTTCAGAAACATTTCTAAACATTGTTCTTATTTACTTTTTTTTGCCCGTTTTACAAAGCAAAGATCTCTATAGGTATTTTATGCTTCCAAAAACTTGGAAAAACATGAGAATTTACATTTCTTCCTTCTCAACTCAAGCTGAATATCAGTTAAATTCTTAGTTATTGGACATGTAAAAATGTCTTTGAAGAGTACAGGACTCTATGTACTGTTTTTCTTTTTTAGTTGTATTCTCTTACTCCAGGGACCTTACATGGTGAACATAGGGAGGTCCCTCTCAGATCTGTTACAAAAGAACAAAATATCCTGTAAGACCCCCAACAAAATAGCATTCAACCCTTCCCAGTCTTACTCTCATTAGCTGTGAAGGGTTTGCTCTACACATAATCTAACATGGAATGCTTAGAGCAGACAGGTGCAAATTGCAAGCTGTCTCACTTTGGCTTTATACCTTCAATTGACAAAGTCGTAGACTGGGAGAACAAAACAGGTTCCAGCTCAGGCTGCATAAATGAAAGTCTAAACAGGGGCACACCAGCTGGCTAGGAGAATTCCACGTCGTGAATACTAAATATTACCTTTATGTCACTTGCCAAGGAAAAGGCTTCGGTAGCCTGCCCTCCTTTTATTGTTGAGATGATATTCCTGCAAAATCACATTGGAGAGGCGACACGATGGCCGAAGTGGATGAGAACAGGAGCCAACATACCTGAGCCTGTTTGCCATCGTTACACTCCTCCGAGCGATGCAGGCATGATTAGCTTCCTGGAGCTGGACCAGATTACGGTATTTCTATCCGTGTCTTTTTTGGCTGATCCAAGCAAAGCCCCAGAGCAATGCAACAACAAAAGACAATCAGCACGTCCCGCACCTCCTCTGCTGACCTAGTCTGCCACGAAAAACAGTTGTTCCTATTAGGAACACCTGATTTCACTTCATGGAAGAGACATGCCATGCCAGGATGTGTAGGAAGGAATCTAAGGTATGCATTTCCCAAAAGGGGACTCTAACTCTGTCATTCCAGACTTGCTTCACTATGTGACTTCCCGGTGTGCACTGGAACTGTTGTCTGCAAGAAGTAACTTTAACTTGAGCTCAGAGGCCACTGAGTAGGACTGACCGTGAGATCTGCCCCTGCAGATAAGAGTAGCCAGACAACTCCAGTCGGCCTTGTTTACAGCGGGACGGAAGAAAACAGCAAGACACAAATGAGGGCTGACGGTTTCATGAAGCACAATTGGTTGATCCCAGATGCAATCTGACTGCCCTGAACTGAGCGATGATCCGTACAGTATGCAGAATTCACTGTCTTGCTGGTCTGTGCCCACCAGCCTTGCAGGAGTGCTCCCTGCGCCCCTCAGCCATGGCTTTGAACGCAACCAGAGCTGAACAACGCCACTGTGGGACCCAATTCCTTCTGACAACAATCACATTCTTTTAAAAACTTCATCGGATTGGGTTGTCACCAGTTATAAATGAGTTTGTTGTTGTTCGTGGATGCTACCCTGTTGTAGATTTCCTTCCAAGTTGAGAGTGTCTGCAACAAAAGGTATTTGCTGTTTTTCAATGAAAGGGAAAATACTGTTGGAAACGCTATCGGTTCTTAAACATTTCAAGCAATTTTGTTTCCTTCCCTGTTCAGATCACAAAGTATTTTTTTCCTCCCACACTATATACTTAGGCTGAATAGGATAATTTTAACAAATTTCAAAAAGCTGGTTTATCAATATTTAAGCACACAAGACCTCTCAGCCGTGGAAGCTGAATACATCCTAGAGATTGTTGGTGTACCATTGTGCTTCTGATTTACATTACAGTATGTATGCTGAAAAATTTGTCAAGAGGATAGATCTCATGTTATCTGTGTTTACCACAGTTAAAAACAGGTTAAAAAGAAGTGTTACTAGAAACTACTCACTGTGATTTGATTTGGAATTACTTTGCATTATTATATCAACTAAATAGAAACACCAGGGAAGAAAGCCAGGGGGCATATCCAGAGTCTATTTAGGTAAGATTCTTACAGATTTCACTTTTCTGCAAGACCAAGCAGGTATCAGTGAGACAACAAAAGATATTGGTGACTAAATTTTGTTTCTTTCGTTTAATTTTGAAACACAATATAGGCATTTAATAACTTACTGTGAATTTAGTAAAAATGATAATCTTTACATAACTATACTAACTTAGCTGGTGATGAATGAATTGATGTAAAATCAGAGGGAAGCATTTTTTTGCATCAGCTGGAGATCTACAAAGCGTGTGGTAAAGGGAAGACTCTACATTGCGAGGGGAAAGGAGGCAAAGGCACTCTGTACCACTGGAAGGTACCTATGTGTAAAGGGGGGCACGGGTGAGGAAATTGGCCAAGGGAGAAGTCGGAAATCACTGCTTGTTTCCTCTCCAACATGTGTTAGTAGTAAAGAGGTCACAAAATACAAACCATCACTTGATAATCCTCTCAAAGAATTCGTCTCTGTGCACAGTCAGCATTGCTTTCCATTTAAATACCCGAACTTGGGGAAAATATCTTTGAGACCTTTACAACATTGGAGAGCAAGTGCATAATTTCATTTGAGGTCCTTACTAAGGAAATGAGGTCTATTAATAGGCCACATCCATCTATTTAAAAGCACGTTTAACTCAATCTGAAAGGAGTGCACTGCCAAAATTACTGAACCATGTCAAGAAAACTAATATCTGCTGTTACCTCGATGAAGGCTCTGAGAAACAATCACACTGCCACCTCTTTCCTAATGGAAAGGAAGAACATTTAGTGTAGTTTGACTGCTGCTTTAAGTTTGCCAAGTTTTTGATGATTAGAGTCTAACCGTTTTGTATTAAAATTGAGAAACTAGGTAAACAAGTATAATTTCTAGAAGTTGTTACTTATTGTATACATTTGAATGAGTATGATACTGAGCAACTTTTGTGGTTTGCATCAGTGATGAGACAAACTTGATTCTATTATAGTAGAGCAGTTCTTTAAGTAGAGCAGTTATATGTAATACACTATTCTACTTTACACATGCAAAATGAAGTATCAGAATTTCAGAATTCCCTAACTGGAGAAGAAAATCATGTTAGAAAAATTACTGAACTTTTCTATAAATACAATTTGTTACACATTTTCCTTAAAAAAAGATCTTGCATTTTTTGTGTTTGTAAGTTTTGCCCACCAAGGACTACTCTTCCCCTTTGGAGTCAGTTATTTGTGTTCAGTTCTATTTACAGGGATATGAAATATTTTAAATTTATTGTATGTGATTTTGTTTGTCCTTCAAAGAAGAGATTCTCTGAAAAGTAGAGTCTGTGTTTGGTTGGCTGTATGGAATGTTAGTAAATATTCAACATGATCCTCTGATATGCTATTTATGCAACTTATATTATGATTTTGTTGCTTTATGAATATTCTGTGAATAATAATATTTGGAAAGAAATTAGATTTTTTATAAACATTTTAATTAACATTGGGACTATTAGAAGCTTTAGCACACATTAAAAGCAATGATGTAGCTTTTCTAGTTTTGTATTTCTGAATCTAGTCATCAGAGACTTCATTAGATGAGTTGCCTAATCTGGAACAATCTTTTATATATAACTGTGGCTCTTTATCATTCTTGCTGTTTTGGTCCTGTTAACCAAAGTTTGAGAATATAATTTGAGTTTGGATGTTTCTACTGTAGATATTTAAAAATTTATTCTGACAGTTACCAAGTATTCATTTAGAACTTGCAAGAATCTGAGAAATCTAATAATATTTCAGACTATTCATTTTCATTTTTGACCATTTATTACACATTCTAATATTAATGGGTTTCCAGTCAAGCAATGAATTCTGGTTTTCTGTGAAATGGTGACTCCCGAGGAATCGGCACTTCGCATTATTTTATCTATTTCTGAAATTTAAGAAGATTAGCTCTTAAACATTCCTGATTAGATTTAAATAAACAAGCAGTTCACAAACTGGAATCTAGCAGCTTAAATAAATGTGGCTGCAAGTGAGAACCAATACATGGCCTATGCGCCTTCTACAAGATGTTTCTATTCTTCCAAAATGAAATGGCATCATTTCACAGCCCGCATGAAGGCTGATTGTGCAATGTCAGTTTCTCACTGCAAGTTTTCCAGTGCTCTTAATTTGTTGAAGGCTCTTTGCATTAATTAAAAATGATAAAAACAAAGTATTTTAATGTGACCTTCATTCGGCATTTGTATTAACTTTTCTTATCCTATTTTATTTAATTCTTCCACTTCTGTTGTTCAATTAGTGTTTGACCCCTTTAGGAGAGATGTAAATTAAATGACATTTCAATGCCATCCCGTATTTAAAATCCTGTGTTAGTTGTGGATCATAAATGATGATCTTCATTCTTTAGCTAATTTATTCATTTAACAATTTCCCTCCAGAAGTTCCAGCAGAAGGCTGTGAAGCAAACTAAGCAGAAGAAATCCAAGTCGGCTGAATTTCTGATGGGTGAGCCTTGCTTGATGAGTTATTGCTCATAATTTGTGTAAGGATTAATTAACTAATTACAGACAAATGGCTGTGGGCGAAATTTTGCTCTTGCTTGTCAGGGTGCAATTTGTAATTATTTTAATCATTTATTCTTTTTTTTAAGAGTTAATTTTAACCTAATTCTGTTTTGGTGACATTTGAGGACGATTCACTTGAGTCTTTTTGTACAAGAATTACTGGAAGGAATTTTCTGCTTGTCGGTGGAATATATTTTGCTATAGTATGATCTTCTGACCTCCTTGTTTTGCTCCAGTTAAAGAAGATAGAGAAGCTATGGAAGGCACTGGAAATCCAGCTTTTAACATGAGCAGCCCAGATCTCTCAGCATATCAGACTTCGCAAAAGAATGTTATTAGATGTGACAGCCCAGCTCGCACCCTTGCAGCTCACCCACAAGAATTCAGGCTGCTGGCCTCTGCAGAACCAAAAGGTGTGACTTCAGTCTCGATTATCTTCACCCTCGATGACAGTTGCTGCCCTCCTGATCTGACCTGGGCATCCCAGAGCCGGCATCAGGCATTCTGTCCCTGCTTGCCTGCACAGGTTTCCTAAGAGGCTCTGGATGGAGCTCAGCAAGGCCCACACAGGGACTGCTTTGCCACTGGTGTGTAGGCCAGAATCCCATATATGAAGGTTTCTGAGCAGTGACTCCATCCTTATCTCAGGGTGCTGACGTGGGATGGGTTCAGTCTTTCAGGTCGTGATGTTTTGGACTCAGTGCAGATAAGGAATTCAAGGACAATGCACCCGTCCACAGGAGGCCACACTGCTGGTTTACTTGTCAGCTATGCTGGCACCCCCGTAAGGACCTTAGGCCCCCCTTTTCTAGAGGAGTTCATGTTTTCTCTGAAGGTTGAGAAATCTGTGTTGAGTTTAAGGATGAGGGCAGAAGCCTCCCTTAGTATTTGGGATCTCGCTGCAGAAATTCACCATAGGAAGTAGTTTCTTGGATTTTCCAACTTGGAGGTTAGTTATTTCTAGAGGTTCACTTGTTCAAGGCCGCCCCCTAAGTAAGGGAAAATGCAACACACTTTGCATCAGGTTGATACAGGATGGCTGGTGGCTCCCACTCCACAGGGAGACAGCTCTTCTCAGTTTTGACCCAAATGCTTGAAGAAGGAAAGATGACCCTGTACCTACGAAGAAGGTGGTCATTAAAACTTGCTGTCTTTGCTTTTATCCTCATCAATGAACAAGACAAAAGACATCAGGATTTAATGGCCAGACAGCTTTTTGAGAGGGAGCGGTCTGAAGTAATGAAGCATGAGCTAGCACAGATGTGTTTTCTGCTGGTCCCACTTAGCAGCCTCATCATGATTTCCACCTGTACTGAACAGGCACTCGGATCCCAGGAGGTTGTCGTGGTGTACAGAGCATGCAGTTCGTGGTTTTAATTTCTCAGGCTCAGGGGGACATTCTGCTGGCCTCCGGGTTTCTCTACTTTCTACATCATATCATGCATGTGGATATCAGTGGATTTAGGTTGGCTCTTATCTGTTTTGATAGTGTGTGTGCATTTGTGTGTGTTTTCTAGAAAGCTTGTAGCCAAGTGGTAGGATGTTGGGCTCTCAATAATGAGAAAGAGAACAATAATAGTGATAATAACTACTGCCATTCTCGAATGCTTATTAGAAATTTGTCATATGCTAAGTACTTCATGCACATGAAGTACATTACCTTCCTCTTTAGGGCAGTATATTAGCTTTACATATTCAGCCCTGTGCAATAAAAGCCACAATGATAGTGGCTTGGATGAGTTTTGGTACCTTTCTGTTTTTTGCTTTATAATCTCTAAGTTATTGTGATCATCTGCATGTTGTAAAGGATTTGATATCATCTCAACATTCTGAGTATAGCAGAGGAGACCACCACCAATGGCTAGCTGCATGTCATTTCTGTTAAATTGCTAGAAACTGGTCATCTGGTCACAAGCAACAAGGGAGGCCAAGAACTATGCTATCTTTGCCTAGGAGCCACGTTTTAAAAGCTGAAATAGAAGGGGTTATATTATTAAAGACCAAAGAGAGACTGTATATTAGGACAAATTAGGAGACCTTATTGCAGGAATATTTTATTACCTTCATTTTATGGATGAGGAAATCAAGATTGTAACTTGGCTAAGGTAAGGCAATCAACGAATGGTAGAACGAGAGACTTCACCAAAAATGTCTCTGATGCTATGGATTACATCTTTGACTTTCTGTCAAATGGCTTGCTGTGGGAGATGTCATTGGTTAGAGAGACAGGGCATTGTGAGGGAATGTCAGAATAACAGCTGGTGTGGTTGCATGACATACTCAGAAGTGACATAGAGATAGGTCAACAGTCATGGACAGCAAGGAAGATGCCGGCAAAGGTGGTGAGTGTCAGGAATGTAACAGGGTTCAAGCCCCTTGGCATCCATCTGGCTTCTCAGTCAACCATCAACTTTGAGATAAACTTCTGGTGTCATCAGCCCAAGGGTAGTTTTTCAAACTTTGGCTCCCTTTTTGGAACATTGGTCTTCCTTATTGAGCTATGGTATTTCAGTTAGACTCTGAGGAGGAAGATATGTCCTTTAGCCCAAATAGAGGATGAATCAGGGCTTCTTTACCAATTGCTATTCAACAGATGTCTTTAGATTTCTGCAATAAGAATTTCAACTTCTTGGTTGCAAAAGAAACTAGGAAGCTTATGTGAAAAACCTCAGAATTTAAGTTATTCAGAAGTGCAGTACCATTTGATGGTTTTGCGGCTTGAACTCAATAAAATGAGGCATGGAGAAAAATTACAACCATGTTACAACAGTGGAGGGAGGGAGATGGGGGGGGAGAAATGTGAGGTCATAAAAAGGCTGTCATCTATGATATTTTTTATTTTAAGATTTATTGATTTGTCTGGCGCCGCGGCTCACTAGGCTAATCCTCCGCCTTGCGGCGACGGCATGCTGGGTTCTAGTCCCGGTCGGGGCGCTGGATTCTGTCCCAGTTGCCCCTCTTCCAGGCCAGCTCTCTGCTGTGGCCCGGGAGTGCAGTGGAGGATGGCCCAAGTACTTGGGCCCTGCACCCGATGCGAGACCAGGATAAGTATCTGGCTCCTGCCATCGGATCAGCGCGGTGTGCTGGTTGCAGCGCGCCGGCCGCGGCGGCCATTGGAGGGTGAACCAACGGCAAAAGGAAGACCTTTCTCTCTGTCTCTCTCTCTCACTGTCCACTCCTGCCTGTCAAAAAAAAAAAAAAAAGATTTATTGATTTATTTGAAAGGCAGAGTTACAGAGTAGAGGGAGAGAGAGAGGGAGAGAGAATTCTTCCATCCACTGGTTCATTCCCCAGAATGATATGTTTTAGGATGCAAGTAAACATTACAGGCAAGCACTACTCAACAGAAAAATAACATTTTAAAATAAGTAATTTGAAATTTTCTAATAACTATTTTAACAAAATTAAAGAGACAAGTCAATTAATTTTAATCAGAAAAACCAATATCTCCAGAACTATTCTTGTTTTAACTTATAGTTAATGTGTAAAAATTTAGATATTTTACACTGTTTTTTGTAAAAGTCTTTGAATTTCACTGCATATATTACAAACCTTAAAATGAGCCATCCTCATTTCAAGTGCTCCAACAGGCATTCTGTTGTAGATTTTGTGCCTATATCCACAAATTAAGAATGGGAATGCCAGGGATTTAATTTCATGAGTGATGGAAGTTAGTTGACCTGATTCTGGAAAATGGGGAGAGAGAAAATTAGTAATCCCAAAGTACAGCAGAATGGATGGAACCAAAAATAAAGAGCTTAAATGGAAAATCCAGGAGTGGGTTATCATCCTTGCAAGTCCAGCCAGTCATTGGCACAGGAAAGAGTCATTACATCACCATTCTGAACATAGCCAATTAAGAAATCCATTTGTTACTGTAGTACTCCCTGCCCAGGGGAGAGCCTCCAAAAAATTCAGTTGCCAATGAGATGCTCAATTTTATGGTCTGTGAACAAGGAAGGGTCTTTGAAACAGGTGAATTCAGAAACTACAAAATATTATAGAACACTGTTTTTGTTAATATAATTTAAAAATAGCATTCATATCAACATGATATACTTAGAATAATTACATATTTTTCCCATGGTATTAGCACAACTAGTCAACTTACATTAAGTATCAATACATTTTCCCCTTTAATATATTTTTAAAAAGAGAACATTGTAAGTAATGGCATAATTCTAATGCTTCTTTATCCAAATGATCTCAAGCAAATATAAAACTATTAGACAAATAGTAAAATTATGATGGGAAATGTCTAAGAGAGGCATTTTCTAGAAACAAACATTGAATAAAAAAAGCTTTTCAATTTATGCTGGGTAAGTCCCTTAGCATATAATAGGGAAGTAAGTAAAGTTCAGGTTGAGTATCCCTTATCCGAAATGCTTGGAACCAGGAAAGTTTTGGACTTTACATTTCCTTTCAGATTTTGGAATATTTACAAATACATAGTGAGATATCCTAGGAATGGGACCCAAGTGTAAATATGAAATTCATTTATGTTTCATATACATCTTATATAGGTTTCCTAACGGCAATTTCATATAATATTTTTAATTTTATATATGAAACAAAGCTGTATAGTGTAAAATTTTCCACTTGTGGTATCATGTCAGCACTCACACACTGTCAGATTTTGGAACACATTGGATCCTGGATTTCAGATTAGGGATGCTCAACTTGTACACATTGATCTGTAGGAAAAGGTGAAGTAGGCAACTACCGAGGGGTGTGATTTCCTGATCATTGGAAAGACAGTCCACCCTCAGATCCCACTTGTATGAGGGGATTTCAAAAGGCTATGAAAAAGCAGAATTACAAGACAGAATTTTTGAAACATATGCATAGCTCTTTTTTAACAATACACATTTTATATGAGCTTTTTGAAGACTTCTTGTATACTCCTGGGTGAGTGCATCCGTAGAATCTTATTCTATGACAATTCGTCGTGGAGCTGGCCCTGTAAGTTGGTTTCAGTCATTGTTGCAAGATGTGAGTGGAAGAAGAGCAGAACAAAATGGAGCCCTCAGCCCGCCCTTCCTCCTTGCCTCAGCCTTGCCTCCTCACCTGGCTGCCAGCTCTGCCTTTGCTTGTTCCTATTTCATTCATAGGCAGGCAATTAGCAAAAGCATTAACACACTGTTTTGTCAATCACCAGAGATATTTACACATCTGTGATTATTTTTGGCTCCATCTTGCCTAGAGCCTGTGCTTCCTGTGTGAATACTGCTTTTTGATCCTCCCATCTCAGCTCATCTGTCTCTTCCACTGCCAGCGTCACCCTGGCCTGATGACGATTTGCCTTCTGATAAAGCCAAGTCCAGAAGGAGAGCAGTTACAACAGGAGAGGGATAGAGGGGCCACAGCTGCTTAGAATTTCAAAAAGAGGGAGGAACTGGTTTAGGTTCCTAAT